TCTATGAAAACACTTTGAAATTATGAAATAATTATTCTTGACTGATAATATATAAATAAAACTAAAAGAAAATCTATAAATATATCTTCTAATCTAGTGAAAATTTAGACAGGAAACAACTAACATCTGAAAGGAGCTATTCAAATATTTTCTATGGGTCATTATAAATTCTCTATCATTGTGAAGTTGGAAAATACAGATAATCTCTTGATTTATAATCAATAAATTGATTGGCAAACAAGTTTCATATACAATGGAAACATGAAATAGTTATAGTATTTATAGTATTTTCTAAGTTTAACAGTAATAGCACATTAAAACAAATGCAATAAAACTAGTTTTAAATCCAATCTAGAGAGAAGAAATACAAAGATTTAATTTCTAGATAAACACTTTCCAACTCAATATTATTTGAAATTGGCTACATTATAATACTAAAAAGTAAACAGCAGTTATGTTGTTCAAGCATGAATGATAGAGGGATTGTTTTCAAAATGTATACCAAATTAATTAGTTTCTAGTGTATAAAACTACTTTTTACAGTATAACCATAAAGACATCTAAATATTGAGAAAATCAAGTGTAAACAAACTAATACAGAAGGTAGTCTTTCTTCATATTAATGTATAAGATATTGCTAGAGACCATGATACACAAATGGATCACATATAGACAAAGATAGATCACGCAGACTGAACTGGCAAATGACCAACTTAAATTACTGTCAAATTTGTTTACTGAAAGAACAACAAAACAGTGAATCTATCTATTAGTATTAAGGCAATGCTGTACTTTGAAACTCAAAACTTATGACAAGTGTTTAATAATAATGTACAAATCAAAAAGGAAATTGTGCTCAAAGTTTCAGTTTATGCTGCCAAACTATCAAACACAGTAGCATTCACAATGGTACTCTTCCAAATAGAAGCAAATGTTTATAGGAGAAAGGATTGTACTTTTATAATTCATATTTACTTCTATCCAAGTCCTCTTTCTCTTGAAAATTATCAAACTTTTGAACAATAAAACTATTGATAAATTGTAAACAACAAAACATTACAAACCAATCATTTAAAATATAAATTGATTTTAACACATGTTGCATGGATATTTTTATAAAAAAAAAAGAAAAAAGATAAACCCAAGTGATTTATCTTATTTATTTCTAATATTTTGATATTAGCAACAATTAACTTCAATAATCAATAAGTTTAACAACTGCTTCACATATTTTTTTAACCAGTGAAGTAATTAGAGTCTAAAAGAAAAATAATACTAAATTGGCTTATTAAATGGTTGTTTTAATTCCTTTTTTTCTCTTTCTTTAAACAATATTTTTTGACAATTTTACAATAATGAAAGGCAACAATAGCAAGTTCATGCTCTTTTCTTGACATTAGGTTAGAATTGAGAACTATTTCAAGAACAAGCCATGTAATCATACCATAAGAATACCATGTGAATAACTGCTTATAAAACAGTTTACTAAAATTCTGGGAATTTACTGATATATTAACCATGATTTGAATAACCTTACACCCAATATCCCTTAACAAACTTAAAGATCATTGATTAGAAATTGACAAAAATGGGTATATTACCTACTCTAGGATTTGAATCTCAGATGACATTAACAGTGTCTAAGTTCATTAAAAAATAATTTAATCTAATTAAACTTAATTTTTTCAAAAAATTATCAAAACTGATGTATTTCTGTTTTATGAAAATGGTTGCGGGGAGGCAACATTTTCAGTATGTTAAGCCTCCTAATTTTAAGAACGGTAAAAATGTGACTAATACAAAAATGATTTACATCATTCATTGAATAGATACTGTGAATGATTAAAAATAATAAAATCAAGATATTACTTGAAAATAACCATAATTATACAACATGAGAAGGAGCAAACATGTTCAAAATATCCCTAATCAAGTGTTCAAAAATTATTTGCACCAGCATTGTTATAATCAGTTGTTGTGGCTGAAAAAAAGAATGGATCATATTCCTACATGGAACAGATTGTGACATGTTATAAAAAGCGGATATATTACAACACCACTGATTGCATTCTATCATGGATCAAGTAAAAACTACTGACCATACTGAAAGACCAATCAGTCTAAATATGATTGTTGGGTATATGGTAGGACAAGAATTCCTGGATTCAAACAAGACAAATGAATGCAGCAATCAACAAAAACAATTGAAAGAAATGATGTAAAATTTCACCAGAATAACAGTGGTCTATGTATTTCTTTAATAACTAGAATAAATTTCCTACAATGCTAATTTTAAGTATTGCTGTTAAATGCTTGTATTAGAAAAGTCCTCAACCACAAATTGATGCTTGACAGTATAGATCAGAATATGAAATCCTAAAGATGAATTAAAAATGAAAATGGGTTTACAAGTGATGAGGTGATAAGCAACCTAATACTTTGTATCTGGATATTTTCAGCATTAATTCAAAACAAGGACATTTGTATATAAAAACAAGTTGGAAAAATGACTTAGTTTGGATGGGCAAATTAAATCAAAAATAGCATGTTGAGTACACCTAGATTACTTTTATGAAAACATATGAAGAAATGTGCAATTGCAAAAATTTTCATCAGGCACAGCAAATTTGGCTATGATCCAATTTCTGGAGAATGTTATCTTTATAGGTAACTATCCTGCTACTGTTATTACAAGAGATGATAGGCAAAAAATTTTTAGAGGAAAAGAGAGTGAAAATTGTTTAAAAGGTAAAAAACACACGAAAGATTTTATCATTCTAGTTGAAATTGTTTAAGAGTGTGAGAGAGAGAGAATTCCTAGGTAACCAAGCCAAAAACCAAAGATTCTTCACTACAATCTTTTTCATGTAAAGGGGACAGGCGAGGGGGAAATAGTAGTAAGCTAAAAATAGAAAGGAATGATTAATATCTCTTATGTTGGGGTATCACAAAGAGAAGACATCTAATGTTCAATTTCTTAAATGAAGCTCAATGAAACAACAATCATTGTAGACATAAACCTAAAATACTGAGTATATTGTTCCAATATACTAACAATAAAGATTGACAAGATTTCCTTCTGAAAATTAACCCATATATGGGTAACATCAACTATTAATAGTGGAATTACAAAATCTTTTGGCATATCAATACTTAAAAATAGTGGTTATAGTCCAGCAAATGTTACTGAACTTCATTCTTGTTTTCTATTTGACACTGTTTGAATCCTGTTTATTTTGCACATTGATTAAACATTTATAAAATTCTAATATTTAGGAGAAAAGAGGTCTTATATGCCATCAAATATAATCTATGAAGAGGGCACTACCATTAAAGCATCTGAAATACAGGGTGTGGCAGGAATACCTCTCACATAATGCTAAGATGAAAACACCATTGCCACTAATGTCTTACCATTATGTGGGAGGTATTTCTGCTGCACCCTATATAAAGAAAAATTTTACACTTGAGTGATTGTGGACATAAGATTAAATTTTTCCTCAAGACAAAAATATTGAGGAGCAAGCATCAACCCATCACCCTAAATAAAACATAACTAATAAATGCTAGAAAGCTAAATTATATATATCTCCCCAAATGAGAGAAAGAACAAATGGAGTAAAAATCCACAGTTTGTAGCATTTACTTTTAAAGTGCTCAATACAAAGTAGAGTAATATATTATATTTTTTATTATAAGAAATTATAATAAAAACATTTTTAAATTGCTACACAAAAGCTTTCATGTTTCAATACTTTGATTGTACTTACTTACCTACCATCACCTGAAGAAGTACAATCAAAGTATTTAAAAACGTTTTTATTATCTCTTATAATAAAATAATATATATATATATATATATATATATATATAAATTTCATTAAAAAAAGTGGGAGAATGTAAGAAATTACTATATAATATACCTATTTTAGTATTTTATAAATAGAAGAAATAAAATTAAAAAAAAAAAAAGAAAATCTAGTAAACTAAAAAGACTTTCACAAGGTTAATCTAGCTTTTTCTAAGCTGATAAAAGGTTTCAGAAGATATTGTTGCAGTGTCAACTAATAAAAAAGTAAATGATTTAATAAACAATTATTTTGCATAAGAAAGAGCCATCAAATGTACAGTAGATTAGAGAAAAAGTTTATATTTAATGCAAATGAGATTTCCTTTTTATAGAGGAATCAGGTCAATCTTGAATATAGAAATTTTTTTCATGCAATTACACTTCATTAAACAGATTGACAAATTTTCTTAGTGCATTGGTTTTCATTCAGTAACAATGAAAACAAGAGAAATATCCCATTTGATTAATGAATGTAACTACGCCTGCTTCTTTTGAGGATTCTTCTTGCCAATTAAAAAATTCTTATCCCTATGGGTTAAACAGTGAGCTTTGTTCTTTTTACTATAGATTACTTTAAAACAAAGTATAATGCTAACACTTTTAGGATTTTTTTAAAATCAATATTAGATTTTGAATTGTTAACTACATTTAAATGTCTGCATACACATCAATAATGTTTATATATTAAACAGGCAAACTTTTGAAAAGAAAAGGTATGAAACTTTCCTTAATTTTTAGCTAAGTGTATACAGTCTTCTAAAACAATATTTATTTTAAACTTTAAAATAACCAGATGAGAATGTCTAGATGTTAAACTGATCTGAGAAATAAGGCCTTCATAGGATCTTTGCCATTGATCCAATTTAGGATTTATCAAAACATTTTATATCTATTTCAATGACACCCAATGCAGTGCAAAAAAAAAAACAAAAAAAAAAACGTGGAATGAGGCAGGTAGTGTGTTTATAGTATAAAGTGCACTGTGCCTTAAGAGAAAAAATACATCCACAAAGTGCTTTGCCGATGAAACACTTGTTAACATTATCCTGAGAATTTGAGATAGAACATGCCACAACTAGAATGAAACACACAAAAATAATAATGAATATGAAAAAAGAAAAGAACTTTGTCAGTCTTTATGGATACTTACCTCTCAATATCTTTCACTTCAACACATTTGCCAAAGGTACCCTCACCAAGGGTTTGTATAACCTCATCTGAAATTAAACATAAGCTTCAAATAATTCCTAATATATGAAAAGTGATACTGGACTGTTGCCAGTAATAAAAAATGTGGGAGCTTTTTTGTGTTTTTAACCATGGCAATGATGTGGGGAAAAGGGTGGACAGAGAATGTGTGGCAGTTAAAACCATTTCAAGAGGTCAGTTTCATTTTTACTTTTTTTATCCAAGAAAGTCCCATTTCACTTGTTCTTCAAATACTGATAAAGTGTTTGTAATAGAATATAATTATATGTAGAAGATAGATTTCAGTATTATGAAAGTTGATTCTTCCTCCAATTATATCGGAAGCAACTATCTTACACCAAATTTACATTTTCACTTATCAAAACAAAATGCTATTTTTAACTTAAGAAAAACAAAACTTAAAAAATTGGTTACAAGAAATAAAACTGTAAAATCTGTTAACTTATAGTTAGCCATCCTCTTACATCCAGCAAATGGAGATTTTTCTGAATATCTCAAGAACAAAATCATTTTCAAGTTAAAAAAAAAAAAAATTCCTGATAGGTTAGCACAAAAATATGAATGGAACACCTGAAGAGAGACAAACTACACCAAAATTTCTTCACATTTAACAGCTGTGACCAACTTTAAATATCATGCTAAATAATAACTTATATTTTATCTAATAGATCCAAGTGAACAAAAGGATAAAAAGATAGAATCTGTAAAATTAGGAAACCTTACATATGAAGTTTACATAATATTCTTTTCACATTCTTTCAATAAATAATTTGTTTAATGAAAAAAGTTTCATAATATTTAATTTGATTATTTATGATAGCACTTTGTATCAAATTTGAAAAATATAAAACTATGGAAAGGAACGGATTTCCTTTTTTTTTGGATAAAAAGAAAGATTTTAGTTTAAAACTATCGCTAAATTATATTTATAAATTCTTAATTATGGGTATTAGAAAGATAGTTTTGTGCAAACTTTCAGCGGATACCTTTGGGCCATATGTTAAACTGTATTAGGTGAACTTAATGATATACTTCTCTGACCAGAAGTAGCATTATTATTTAATTTCATGCTGTGTCTTATAATTAAAAAAAAAAAAGAAGAAAGTAGAATAAAGTTTACAAATAATGCAGCAGTCACAGATATTTCCTTCTAAGAAATTCTAGTAATTAAAATGAAAGCAAAACCCCTAACTGATTAATTTTTAATGACAAAGAAAGATGCTAATTCCAAAATGGCCACTATTTGGAAAATTCAAACAAGTGAAACTTACAAGGAAGCATTATTGGATTAAGAGTTAGTATAAATATCTATATTATTTCAAGATGACCATATCCTTTTCTCATCTTGATTAGAGACAGGAGATTAAAGTTCTTTATTGTTATATCTCCTTACAGAATCCATTGTAGGTTACAACTATTATGTTCTTATAATAATAAAACTGACATGAAATGAATAAATATAAAAGTACTAAAAGAGTGATGAGGGCAAGAAACAAATGCCAGATGAAAGTAAACTGTCATAGAAATCAGTATCAAATCAATAACACCTATTCAATCAAATTTATTATAAAGTGGATATTTTCTGTTAGATTCAACGGACAATTACAAGGCCTGAAATAAATAAATTAAAAAAAAAAAACCCTGGAGAAGATGTCTCCTTAATCTAAATGGAGGCCATGATAAACAAGTGGAAGGATATTAAATTTTTTGGCTAACTCAATGTAACCAAAGTGTTTGTTTGCTAATTTAACAATTTTCAGTGGGAGAGGACACAAAATATTCAATGGTAATCAGGAACACAACAAGTGTGTGTGTGTGTGTGTGTGTTTGTTTTTTGCCATGTATCAAATTAGCAGGGACATGCAAACATTTAGGACTGAAAATATAAAAGGGTTCAAGGAAAAAAAAAAAATTCTTTTTTAAATTTCCCAATTCCATTCCAAGTACAACAAAAAAAAAAAAAAAAAAAAGCATAAAAGAAATAATAGTGAAGTATAAACCCATTGCATTTAGTTAGAAACTTTACCTATAAACATTTTGAATAAAAGAAAAGGCTGGGAGATAAATGCAAGAAAAGGATGGAGAGGATGATTTCTGTTTACCCCTCCCTCAAAAACCAACATTCAAATACCAGAGGAGAGGAAAGAGAGAAAAATTCAAAACATAAAAAGAAGGGAAGGAGGGGGGAAGAATTATTCCATGAGCAATGTATGTGTATATGTATGCAGGCAAGCATGTGCATTTATGTATTTAAGAAAATACATGCATTAACAACCACTTATTGATAAGAATGTATTCTATTGTATTGTATTACCAGATGCCACATTTACATGTTTGACACAATGTGTAACATTCAATTCAAGTTATGTGTGCCATAAAGTCTATCTGCCCATGTCCCAAGACAACTGAAGAATAAGTAGGATATGATGAAATTAATCAATTTGTATTTACAGCAAATAGGACTACTGAAAAGTGTGAGAAGAGATCTTACAAACCATATTAAGATATTGTATGCAGACCAAACCAGCCATATTGATATGTAGATTTTTAAAAGGGAAATAAAAACTTGTATTAAAAAAAAAAAAGAGACAGGAGGAGGAGGAATGACAGTATAACGCAAACAAACCCAAGATGTTTTAGCAGAATCTTTCCATCTACTTTATACATGTATTTATGAAATCAACAACAATTGTACACACATAATGAATAAACACATTGTTTATATAAAGTGTCAGTGAACATAGCATGGGCAATACAGAGATTTCTAAGTAAGATCATTTGCAAATAGAAATTCCTAACTTAAAGTTAATATACAGAATAATGCACATATAAACAGTTTTCTTAGCCTTATGGCTTAGGTTCAGAGAAAAGCTCAAAATATTTAACAGAAAAATGTTATTTACACTTGAAATATTTTCACAAATTAATTTTTTAAAAGTTTGAATCAATCATTCAGAAATAACTTTATAATTGGGAAAAAAAAAGAAAAAAAAGATTTTTTTTTTTTTTTTTTTTTTAAATATAAATATGATGAAACAATGGAAATAAGTATTTTCTTGTTTGGACTGAGAAATATCAAGATAGAAAGATTGGAAAAAATTAAAGTTAAGAAAACATGAAAGACAGAAGAGATAGGATAGAAAGGAAGATGTTTGAGATTTAAGAAAAAAAAAAAAAAAAAAAAAAAGAAAAAAAGAAATAAAAACATTAATACAACGGGAAAAATTTGAATAGAAAAAAATCAGGAGAAAAAAAAAAAAAAAAAAGAAGTCAAATAATATCCTAGGCTAAACATTACGAAATGATGAGTACATCGAGCTTGAAGAACGTCTCCCGGGTGATAGATCAGGTGACCATCTTCGTCGTCCTCGATGCTGGGCGCTCTTGCACTGAGTTCAGGGTGGTCCTGTGGTTTGTTCAGCCCCAACGTATTTCATCATCATCATCCCCCATTCATTCATTCAGTGGCACATTTCATCCCCCAGCAAGCGAACAAATCAATCAGCGGAGTAGCAGCAGAGTTCGTTCACATCCGGAGCACCGAATTTTTCAATGCCGCAACAGTGAGGCCAGCCAATTCAGGGTACATATGAGATAAACAAGGGTAGGCAAGGCCAAGTAAAGATAGTGTCACATACAAGCAAAAAAAGATTTCAAAAAAACAAATATATATAAAAAATATAGAGAGATATACATAGATATGTATATAGAGAAATAAGATCACTTTCAAACTAAATGGGGATCAAGTCTTTCCTTTTTTTTCTTTTCTGTTTGAGGGTCATTAAAAATTATATTTAAAAAGTAGAGCAGAAATCAGCATTGATGAACAATATTTACCAAGATATTTGAAGGCAACATGTATAAATGATAAATGCAAATATACATATTAATATTTTATAACTTCTCATAGCAACACATCATGAAAATGAATAGCATAAAATATTAAAACAAAAAAATAAATAAATAAAATTCATGAATACAACTAGAATACAAAATTATAAGTATATTTTATCAAGACATCTACTTTAAAGAAAACTAAATTACTTAAGACAAATGTAACACAAACTTGATAAAATTATAAAATGAAAAAAAAAAAAAAAAAAAAAGTTACTGCAGGAATAAAGACATTAAAAAGTTCATATCAAGCAAAAATTCAAGATCAATTTAAAGAACACTATAAAAACATTGGATTGAGAGTAGGTTAAAATGTGATGAAGATCCTATAAGATGTTAGGAGAAAAAATTCTAAATATACACAAATTAATAATTAAAACAGGGTTTATGTGAAAATCTTAGCAAAAATTTTCACTAAAATAATGCACTCTTTATAATTTCTTCATAACTACAAGCCAAATAATTAAAAAAGCTTTATGATTATGTTAATAGCTTTTCAGAGAAAAAAAAATTCAGTTAGATCACAATTTCAAAATACTGGGAAAATGCAAATATAGCTCTTTATACCAGGTTAATATTTTGGACTTGAATGATAAGCATTTGTGTATAAATGAATGTAGTGAGAGCAGATTAAACAATTAGAAAATTGGCTCATTTTCAACTTTGCACCCTGTTGTTAAGAAATTTATCTGTCTTCAAACTATTTTACAAACATCTATAGGAATAGAAAATAAATGAACTTTACCAAAGACTCATATTCAGTTATCTTCATTGAAGGAGAGCAAAAAGCCCCGTTGAAATATCAGTTTTGAAGAGTTTCATTTAATTATTAAGTAAACTATATATATATATATATATATATATATATATATATATATATATATATATATATATATATATATATTTTAAATAATTCTAAAAAAAATGAAACTTGGGAGATATAACAATGAATTAATACATTAAACTATCAAGATTTAAAAATGTCTAGCTAAAAGAGAAGCTCAAGCCTTTTTTTTTTTTTTAAATTTTACAGGTAACTAAAAAATTTAAATTGGTAGTCTGAGCATGAAGCAGGTTAAATATCAAAAACTAACAAGAAGCATAACATAAACAAAGTTTTATCTGCTTTTCTGATATTAGCAAATGAGAAAAAGATGGACTGCAAAGCAATGATACAAAATTTATGGCAGAGAGCTTTGGATATATAAAATCAAAATTTGTTTAAAAACATTCCATATATACTATTTTTTCCATTGCGAGAATACTTATGAAGGAGTCAAGGTATTTAGAGTTCAATGAACATAATCAAGCAAAAAGTTTTTAATATGGTCAAAATTTAAAGGAATTTTATAAACTTTTTGAACTTTTCTAAGTGTTGTAAAACTGGTAAAATTAATGATCACTTTTTGCAGTTTCGAATAATAGACAATTTTGTGTCTAATTTCCGAACAAGAAAAGTACAGAACCATATTTACTGTACGTGTTAAAAATATAAGCAACTCCAATGCTGTGGTAAGAACTACCTAAAATCAGTTTCTACAGGTAACTATTTTGATCAATTTATTTGTAGAGGTCCATTATACAAAATAAACAAATTCTAAGTTGCACTTCTAAAAGCTACTTGTATTTTTTTTAAAAAGCCAATATCTGTATAAAGGCCATAAGTATGAAAAAATTATGTACTCATATAATAGCAATTTTCCATATCAACAATAATCAAGTAAAGATTAAAATAATAACTTTTTTTTTTTTTTTAAACAAATTTATTTTTCAGTCATTTTAATGCACTTAATTTCAAAGTGAATATTAAACTATCAATGAACCCAGTGTTAACATCACTGATCACCAGCACATTTTACAAAGTATATTGAGAGAATCAAATTTGAACAGCTCAACCCACTTCCAAAATAATGATCAGAACAATTATTTTGGTAAATGGATTGAGCCAAGAACTTTTCAGCATCCCTTCATACATGCCAGGTTAGAAATATCGATTCATCCTTGCATTATGTTACTTTAAATATTTAAAAAGCAGTTTTATTTTATATATAAAGTTATGCAAATAAAAACTTAAAAATAAAAAAAAAAAACAAAAAAAAAAACATTGTTTACAAACCCTACAAGTTTTATTTATTTTTGGTTGACAACTGCAATAATTAAACAACTGTTTTATCTCAAACATTACTGTTCTTTTGTGGGTCTCTTATAAATATTCTGAGAGGAAAATATTCTTTATAGGTGACACAAATAGAATGTCTTAAGCTAGGAATTTAATCAAAGCAAGCTTTATAAATAATGCATCCAAGTGGAGATGTGTGTATGCGCGTACACACACAGAACGTGCATTTATATTATTTAGGCATTTATTTCCCTCCTTCTACCAAAGCTATAAAGGATAACAGAAAACTTAAAGCAAAAGAATCATGGCTGGAGGTTGGTGAAAAGTTACCCCCCCCCACACACACACCTTCTCCTTACTTCATAAGCCATGGTTGGTGAGAAAGAAGTTAGGTGAAGAAGAAATGTTGCTGTAAGGCTATTGAGCAGTTTGTAAGTAAGATGCAGTAAGTAGAGGAATTATACTAACAGCCTTAAAGCTTCTAACAAAGTAGAGAAGCAACAGAATAATACCAGAATTTGCACTGGAGAAAGAAACATGTGCATGAAGTTATTAGATTCCTAAGACAGTTACAAACATCATTACTTGCTAATAATATGCTAAATACTTACGTTTTTAAGAGTTGGTGTTGTTTCATACAAATGGTATCAATTGCTACTAATATAATTTTAGAAAAAAAAAAAACATTCTGACATCTAACTTGCACCAAAGAAGTGATTCAAGAGAAAATATATTTTATCATTTTCACACACACAAATTTTGACATTTATAAATCTATATTGATACTAAAATGACAGATTTTCATAAATGAGAATCAGTGAACAATGATTTTATTGCAGATAAAAACCATTCCTTTTTAAAGATACCTTTCCTATATCTGTATAGGTAAGAAAAAAAAGTCAATATAACTTAAATTTTCCAAAAAAAAAAAAAAAAAAAAAAGCTTTGATAGATCGTAAGCAATTCTGCTCATGTCCAACAGCTAACCTTTTAGTGATATTTAAGCAAATATTAAAACAATAGACTTTCCTATCAGCCACACCCAACTATAGCAACTACTTTATTTCACTATCCAATTAAATAGTGCACAATGATACTAACTAGTCTATAGACAAAATTTTAGTTAAAGGGATATATAAAAATGTCAATAACATTAAAAGTTTACAAATAACTTTCAGAGTTTAGATTTATGTAAAGGCATCTTCTAGAAAACCATTTTTAATTACTAAAATGAATTTTTTCTGCTTAAAATGTACAAATGAAATGATCAATTCAAAATATCTAAATCATACACTGCAAGTTTTATTAAACTTCTGTGTTATGATCCATTCCACAACTTTCTTCATGTACAAAAGGAAAGTTGTAACTCTCTAACATCAACATAAAAGGAGTTCAATTGTCCAAAGCTTGGGATCACAGATTCATTTGATGACTGGCCATTCTTTATATAAAAATAATTTAAGACATTTGTATTATAATAAGAGATGCTGTTAAGTTCTTGTCCTAATACACTTGGCCAAATATCAGACTTGAGGGGAGTCAAGCTGAAAACTTTACAATAACCTTTTATTAGACAGTTATTTATAAGTAAAAATAATAAAATAAATTAAAACTCATAAGTTGATTTGTATTAATCCTAATTTGTAAATGATTTTAAAATTCCATCTTTTCACTAAGTGAAATAATTAAAAGAGCAAAACTTGTAAATAAATAAAGTCAGGAACAACAAATAATACTAAATCTGATTAATAGCTTCAGTTTAAATAAGTTGCAAAAAAAGAAAAAAAAAGTTATGTAATCAATATGAGTTCAGCTACTGAAATCTCTTGAAGATATTTTGTATCATTAAGTTATTTAAGTTTAATGGTCATAGAGAGAAAGAGAGGAAGAAAATGCTCTTATAATCTAATAAATATAAGTGTGTGTGTGTATGTATACACACAACTGAGAGGACTGGAAAAAGCAGCCAAAGGCTTTTGCTCTCATTATTCCAATATGAAATGGCCAAAGCAAAATTTGTTATATAATAGGTTAAAAGCAGGGTAAATATTCAACTTGCTTAAGTATTGGATTTCCTCCAATTACAAAACTTTTTTAATTATTACTTTGCTTAGCTTTTTAAATGATAAAAGATAAATTGCCAGAAATAAAGTAAAATAAACTATTGAGGTGTTAACTCTTTCAAAAGTTTTAATCAATAAGTAACAGTAAAACATGGCAAAACGTTGTGACTGTTTTCTTTATATATCCAAAGCTCTTGGTAAAAACAATCTTGTTTGTCTAGACTCAAATAATGCACAAAAATTCTTGCATTCATTTACATCCAAATAATAACCAACATTTTTCTATAATGTCCAATACAGATATTTAATGGTTGAAAGGTAGATATTAAGTTAGATGGTAGGTAAGTAGATAGTTAAGAGTTGCCAGCCCACAATGCAACCATCATTCATGTGACAGTGAAAGAGGGAAGGAAGAGTTGAAGCAAAATAGGTAAAAATGTTGATTGCAACATCAAAATTGCATTGCCAAATGAAATGGCGCCATCACTAATTTCATCAAATCAAAAATTATATATATGATTCAGCAAGGGAGAGGGGATTATTTCATGCCCCCTCCCCTCAATTATTGTTTGAAAAAGACAATGCCAAAATTAAATAAAAAAAAAAAAAAAAAAAAAAAAAAAAAAAAACACAAACTAATATACTAAAAGAAAAAAAAGGCAAAACTAATAGAAGACAAAGTAAAAACTAAAACCATTAGTCTAAAAATGCAAGCAAGGTTGGAAGGTATATCCAGTTGGGGGGGGGGGGGGTCGAGAGAAGTAAAAGGTGTTTTTTTTTTTGTCATTGCTGACTCCATATGAGCATTAAATTAGTAATGGAGATATGAATAAAGAGTGGAAAGGTTAAAAAAGAAGTTATGACAGAATAAGTACTCCCAAAAACTGTATGGTCTACTTTTTCAGTCAGTTATAAAAGCAGTAAAAGTTTAAGTGTGTGTGTGTTAACTGGAAAATGATACTTCTGCCAAATTCTCAGTGTTAACCTTGCTATGATGATGATGACATTGAAGAAGAAAAAAAAAAAAAATCAACAGACGCACACACACTCCCAGATTTTTATCAATGGCTTAGTAATAGACTTTAGCTTTTTCTTTACTTTTTCCCCTGTTTTAAAAACTTTATAACTTAAAACATGATAAATGTTGTACAGTGATTATTTTGCTATAAAATTTTTTTGTTCAATGAAAAAGTCAAGACCAAACTGAGTACCCTAATCTCTAAGAGTAAATTAACCATTCAATCACTCCACGAAGAAAGGGAAGCAAGACCAAATTGTTGCAACATTCCTTTAAAAATTTTCTAGAGGCAAGATTTCCTGCAAATGCAGAGTAGTTGCCATTGTTGGAGATCCCAATTGTTGTGGGCATTCCCAGACTTAGCTTATCAAATGTTGTGGGGATTTTAAGTCGGGTAACGTTCATGTTAGATGACAAATTATACTTATTGTTGGGCAGCCCATACTTCCTCATCATAGGGAAGTCCAGCTATTGAAAGAGAAGCCATAACATAAAAAAAAAAAAAAATTTTAGTTTCTCGAGAAGATAGAACAAAATGTTTTGTAATTATCCAAGAACATTAAAAAAAAAAAAAAAAAAAAAAAAATTGTTTTTGAATGTATGCAAAATTAAATAACACGAGAAATGAAGTGTCATTATCAAAAGTAGACATGTCATATATATATATATATAGATCTTTGAGTGCAACCAATGAAATTGAAGAGAAAAAGAACTAATTGGAAATATTTGGAGAGGATGAAAGCAGGTGATAAAAGAAACTGAGAAGCAATTGGAAACAAATTGATAAGTGGCAAAACTTTTTTGATAAAGAACAGGAAATAAAACTAGCATGTAAAAAGAGCGGTTAATCAAATTTCAAGTAAACTATCTACATCTGTACAAGACAATTAAAATAAAAATAAATTGTTAGTTTATAATAGTAATAAAAGTCAATGAGAAACAAATTACAAGACATGAAAAGTTTTAACTATCATCAAAGCATATGCTTTACAAATTAAGTTTTCAATAACCATGTTTTTGTTTCTTTTTAACTCCTACTCAAAATAAGTTAGAGCTTGTCAAGTGTACATTTTGCTTGAACTTTTTTAAGAAATTATAGCCAATTAAAAAGGAGGAACGAATGCTAAAAGTTACATACTCAGGAAGATTATATAAGACATTAATTTTCACTTTAACCATCTTTTTATTTCTTACTTCTACTTTAAACAATTGTGGAAAGCAAGGGCTTACCAACAATGTACTTACCTTTTTGGCCAAAGTTGACGTTGGCGTAGAATTATGATTGTGGTTGTTATTGCTGGTGCTTGTGTTGTTGTTGTTTAGAGCTGTGGTTGTACTGTCTGTGGAAGAAGTAGGCATATTCGCCCATTCTTTGTAAGCCGTCAGCACATCCACTTTCATTTTACACGCGAAAGATTCCACATTGGGACAATCACAAAAAATACTTGGGCCAACAATGTACTCCAGAAATTAGGGTGTCCAAAAAGTGATTTACTTTTTAGCTCAATAGCCACCAGTAACAAGGCTAGTATGGATGGAGGCTGTTTGTACTTGAATAAAAAAAATCTACTGATGGAGAGAGAGAGAAAGGAAATTTTAGAGAGTGAGTTAGCAAATAGCAAGAAAAAGAGTAAAGAGAGAAGAGCTGTTTCCTCTGTGGATGAAGGTAGTTTTTTGTTTTCCCCTCTCTCTTTCTCTTGATGCCCCCTTACTGGCTTGTAGAGCCTCTGTTTAAGCTAACTTAACCTCCTTTACAGGGCAAGAGAAAAAAAAAAAAGAGAAATTGGTGCTGGCTGTTTGCTTTTTTTTTTTTTCAATTCAGGCACTGGAGATGTTGGTAAGCACCAAGAGTTCTGAGAGACAGAACAAGTGAGGGGAGGGGCTGGTAGTAAACAGTGGTAACGGTTAGACACACAAAAACAGATAAAAACACACACACGTACCTGCATATACCACTGCACACACATGCCCTAACCCTAATATACACACACACACACACGTGTGTATGTATGTTAATGTTTTCTCATATATTTATATATAATATCTGTATATGTAAATATATGTATATATCTTTAGCAGCTAGGCCGGCTGCTATCAGCTTGAATTTCACTGCTGATCATCAACACATGCTGCTGCTGCTGATACTGGAGTGAGGTACGAGAGCCTCTAGTGAGACCCAGCCACTCAAGTAAGCATTCCATGGGATGAGGAAGAGAAAAAACTGTGTGTAAGTTTTCCATTCTTTCTGGCCATAAACTTAGACAAAAAGAGATTCTCTCAAAGTTCTGAAGAAAGTGATAACAGCAGTAAATTTTCACACATGCAACTTGGTTTCTTAAATTGGATTTTTAACAAAATGTAATTTTCCTTTTTGATTAGAATTTGGAAGTGTTTGTTTGGATTATGATTTTATTCTAATAATCTTCAGCATTTTAATATTTACATTGACAAAAGGAAAATAAATATTCTGTTCTAGTTGTCTTGAAATGAATTTAATTTATAATTTAATAATTGAAATGAGAAAAACCTTTAACTTTCCAAGTTCATTTTTTCTTTATATGTAAAACTCCTTAAAAAGCAAAAAGTTGAAAACTTTTTCAGGTTTGAAAAAAGTAGTTTAAACAGTTATTAAATGTAAATAGCTTATACAACAGAGGAAGATTTTTGAATTCTAACAATCCCAAAGCTCCAATTTTTTCCTTTAAATTAAAATCACAGTTCAGCTTCTAATAATTGCCACATCACAAATCATAAGGCAAGTTAAACAAAAAAAAAAAGAAAAGTATTAGTTTTAACATTGGCAGGAAGAACTTGTAAACAGGCTAGCCATTTTTTTGTAATTGTGCTTAGAATTAATTGTATGAGTTGAAGCTAATCTAAACAAATTTAAAGTTAAAAAAATTTAATGAGAATAAAATGTGCAAGAATTGAAATGTTAATAAAGAAATAAAAAAAAACAAGCTAAATTATTATAATTAAAGTTATTTTGTAAAACTGGAAAAGTGGCAGCATTTTAAAATATTTTCTCAAATAAGTTTAGTAAGATTTTTTTATGCTAAAATTCACTAATGAATTTACTCATATAGTCAATTATTAAAAAACTGCCATGTTATTTAGAACAAAATAGTTTTATATAAATTTGTACTTGGTGCTATAGCAGGTATATTAACATGTATGTACATTGAGAGTGTTTCTAAAAGATTAATATTTGGCTAGTTAAAACTACAAATGAAAGTGAATACATAAATAATAGGAGTGTGCAATGATGACAAAATTTACATTCAGTCTGACATAAAAAAGAAGAGAGAAAGAGGTAAATAGTAAAACATTGCACAAGTATACATGGAATTACAGACATACATTTCAGTGGATGGATAATCTTATTACTCACATAAAAAATTGTTATGACAGTGAGCTTTGATATAATTTTTGTGATGGTTATGAACAGTCAGAAACCAGACATCAGTCAACAAGGCTGACTTAGGAGGTCAGTTCTTAGTAGTACAGGCTGGCTGCTAAAGTGGACAGTTCCACTTTAGAGATTTTTGAACATCTACACTCGCCAGCAGAGAACGAGGGCTTAAGTGGCTCTGATACCTATTGGCTACCATGTTGGCAATTGTGGTGTTATCACTGATCATCTTAGATGTTTGAAAAACAGGAGTGTCACCAATGTTGAAACAGTTATAGCATGCATTATTTAAGATGACAGACTGCTGATGATGTTGCAATCCATAAAAACAGTGGTAAGCAGTGGTTGCATCAGTAGTGCCAGTTGGATACAGTCGTTTGTTGTTAATATTTTTGTTGATTGAAGTATACAAATGAGAATCACCAGTAGTTCTCACAGTCCCAACGGTGCAGAGAAGGACAGATTCCTCATCAATGAAGAAAGAAAAATTGCAGTCAAATGCTGCCACCATTATTGGGTGGGAAGAGGACAGAGAAAGACAACACAATGTGATAAAGCAACAACAATGGCTGCTATAACAGAAACAATAGAGGCAGGGACGGTGAAAAAGAAAATAACATCTGACTGTTTAGAAGCCTTTTGAAACGCTAAAGTTAACTGCAGCAACATTTTACATCATCATAGGTATATATTGAGATTCCCTTTAAGCTTTCTCCACTGTTTTAAAAACAAAGATAGAGAAAGTGAAACAAGAAAGAATGGCTGATTATGAAAAAAATCATGAACGTTCAGTAGCAGCAGGTGAAAAAAAAAAGAGAAGTAAAAGAGGGGGATAGAGAAGTTAGTGAGAAAAAAAGAAAAAAAAAGAAAAAAAGAAAAGAAAAAAAAAAAAAAAAAAAACACACACAAATTAATATAAGAGGAACTCTCTCCAATGTAGCAGCCTCCACCCACTTTGATTAAATGCAACAACTGCAACAGCAACAATAATAGTTAGAAATGATTGAACACTATTACTGCAATGAGAATGATAGCAGCAGCAACCACTATGATGGAAGAGATGGCAATGATGGTTTCTAAAGGATATAAAATAAGCCTAAGAAATATTACAAGGTTGTTCTCCTTATCTTGGTCTCCAGAAAGCTGTATGTGACAAAATTTGTGATAAAAAAAATAAAGAAACTGTTTGATATTCTCATTGCAGTATATCCACTGAAAACAGGCCTTGAACATTAAGAGAGAATCATTGAGAATGCAGCTGAAAATTTATCCACTGTCACTACTGCTACCAGCAGTGGAAAGAGCAGTAGCAGTGAAGTGGAAAGAGCAGTAGTAGTGAAGTGGTAACAGCAATAAGGCAGTAAGTAGTTGAATAAGCAAGCAAGAACTGCATAATAAAAATTTCATTCACTAGAAAATACACTTGGTAAATATTTATGTTCAGGTCAATGCTGATTTCAACATTTTTCTTTTCATCTTTGTTAATAGTAGAGAAGCAGAAAAAATATTTCTAATGATAAAAATAGGAATCTCAAGGAATATTACCAGTTGAATAAAGATGTGACAAGCAAAAAACAAATCTCCTCATTTCTGCCATTAATTCTCTTTAAAAAGGAAAAAAGTTTTTTTTTTTTTTTTTTTAAATAAATAAAAATAAGGAGGGAATGTGGTAAAGCTGTAAAAAGAAATTTTCAAAAGAATTTAAAAAAAAATGAAGAAATCAATTTATTCAAAATATGATCCCCAAGTAGTAGAAAAAGTGCCATCATTGAAGCAAACAGCAACAATTTTTTTTTCTTTTTGGCTCTAGGTCTGTTAGCATTTTTTTTTTCATTTGCCAAAATGAAGAATATGTGCCTTACCTGAGATGAACACCTGCCTGAGATAGAAATAAACTGACACACTGACTGGCCTAACACATTTTTCTATCATGATAAAAAAAATAAAAATTTAAATTAAAAAAAAAAAAAGTGTGTGTGTGAGGGGGGGGACTACAAGTCACACACTTAAAAAAAAAAAAAAAAAAAAAATTCACTCTTTTTCTAGCATACATTTTTTGAGGGAACTTTTTACTGTATTTCTTAACCTATTTCAGTTTTTCAAATCTGATGCACCAAAGAATGTTGATTTCCTAAGGCTGAGGCCAATTTTGATGTCATACAACTTTTTTCGGGGGGTGGGGGTGAAGATGAGGAGAGAAAAAAGAAAGGCTGTTACAGCTCAAATGTTCCACTCCATTTTAATCTATGTTTTTAAGGGACATTAATATATTAAGAATCAGTTAAATTTAAAAAGAAAATATTTATACATTTTTTTTATTTTTTGCTATGCTTCATATCTTTGGTATATATTTTGAAAGAGCTGGTCATACATATTACCTAAAGCAGAGAATATAAAACTAATAAATGTAAATTTAATTTATAGCAGATTATGCATTTGGTCAAATACTGGTATAAATTATTCTGTAGGGGTGGGGAACAAAAAGAAAAGTTTATCTCAGTAAACTATTATCAAAATCTCCAATTATTTTTCTTCCAAAATCTTGAACAATTGTTACAATATACCAAATTAAAACAAGATAATGTGAGAAATATTCATGATACAAAGATTAGCAAATGGCTCAGAAAAGTAGCTGTATGACATATGGCCTTTAAACTGACTAAAGTAGCAATAATTGTTGTAAATGTAATAATGATTGTGGTCTTGACAGCTAAATCTTCAGCAAATAACCTCTTTACTAAGAGAAAAAAAAACACCTTGCTTACCTTTACAGGAATACAAAAACCATTCACTTAAATGTTCAATATATTTTGTCCTCACACACAAAAATCTTTTTTCTTCTTTATAAAAGTAGTTATCTAATAACTTCTGAAAAGGCACAGGACAGCAAAAAGTGAAAGAAAAATATGTGGTACTTTGGCATTTTTCTTTTCTTTCAAAAATAAAAAAAAAGCCTAAAAGTGACTGTTGGGACAGACAAGACAGCAGTAGTAGTAGTAGAAGAGAATCTGGGTATTTCCTGATTGCCAAAAACATGAATACACATGTCCAGTATGGTCTACTCACCCGACTTGACTGTGAACTGTATGAGGGTCGGTGATGCCGGTAACTCCTGCGGTACTTCTTTCGTTTATGTGATCTACTGTGGCCACTGCTTTCATGGGAGTGGTAATGACTGCTATGATCAGAATCATGGTAACTGTGACGACTTGAGTAGTTCATGCGATCTGGGCTATAGGAATTTTCATCAGAATGGTCCCTGTCACGATGGTGGTGATGATGATGGTGGTGGTGGTGGTGATGCCGCCTCCTCCTTCGATCAGGACTAAAATTTACATAAAGAAAAAGGAAAGAAAAAAAAAAAGGATAAAAACAAAATAAATACAAAAATTAAATATTATAAATTAATTGATTTAAAATATGGTTATTTTCGCTACACAGTTCCAACCATGTTTCAAAAATATTTTAAATCAATTAATTTATAATATTAATGCTCTGTAAATTTACATTGAGCACTATTTTGTAAAAATAAAATATCTATAAGAACACCGGATTTTATATCTTACTGTTCTTTCTTTTTATTTATATACATACAAAAATTAAATTTATCTTAAGCAATGAAATGTGGACACAGAAGTGACCATATAGATAAGACATTTAAATAAGTATCCAACTGAAAAGAGCATCAGAAATTGTGTTTTTATTTTACTTTACAAATACTTTAGTATTTGATAACAAAAATCAATTTTCACAACCGATTTATTTTTTTAATGCAGAAATAACACAAAGCAATTTCTATAACTCTTATCAAGCTTGAAATTTATCCTTCAAAATTACCTATTTTTTACCTCATTTTTAAATTTTTAAGTAATGACCAGATTCAGATGCTCATTACTTAAAATGTCAGTGTCAATCTGTCATTTCCCAAAAACTTCAAGTGAGGAGAGACTACTTGATTGCTAATGAAAATTTATCTGATCCACCAAAAGAAGGTATCAAAATTAGTATGAAAGGTGAAAAGAATATGAAGTATTAAATATTCCTTTCACAGCAAAATTTAACTTTCACAAATCTGAAGTAAACTAAGTATTATTCTATTACACACTTCCACAATAACATTTAAAGAATTAGCTTAGTTATTACAAAGAAATCTTTTTGTGATTGATTATTAAAATTTTTTTTAGCAAATATAAATTTGACAACATTTTACAAACTACAATGCCAATAGTAAGCAAAACAGTGATAAAAATACTTTAATAAAAACAAGGTCATAAAACTCTAATACAACTGCTATAAATCTATGATGGGGTGCTGAAAAGTTTTCAGCTTCAGGAAACCATTTTTTTTTTAAACCCTTCATGGTCATAGATCTATATTCCTTTCATCAATTGCTAAACCACATTGTTTATCTATGTCATTTAAGAACCATTAATGCTGTGACTTGAGCTATTCTGCTGAAATAAACAAAGGTATTAAAAGTAATTTTCTATTCAATTCATAAAACTTTTTCCATCACTTTATAGAAAAACCAAATATTTCAGAAACATTAGCTTAAGAGTTCTTAGCAACTTTTACATTGATCTTTATTTTTAACAAGCCCTGAACGAACAGATTTGTGAGTTTCAATATTGAGAAACTTCTAATACAATTTTTATACAACAGGAGGAGAGGAAGAGGAAGAAAAAGCATTTTCTGGCACACTAACACTCATAATTTTAGTGCAATTTTTATCAAATTAAAAGAAAGCGTGTGTGTGTGTACACAAACATATGAGAGTGAGAGAATGTACTGTTTCCTAATACTTTCTAAATTGTAATTAGAAAAAAAAAAAAAGAAAAAGGAAAAATACTTTTACAGCAACAGTTTATCACAAAGCATGAAAGAAATATTAAATGCAAAGAGCTACAACAAAATAATAATGTAATTAATAGTTCTTCAAAATTGTGTTCATTAATAAATACTTGTTAAACTTTTTTCTTTTTTTTTTTACGAGCTAAAACTTTACTTTTCAAATTTTAAATTTCACATTTCAAAAACCTGGTTTGTCTGTGCAATACTACTAGATTATTTTCATATATCAAACTGATACGCCTTCAAGAGTAAAATTTACAATTCAATTTTAAAAGGAATTTGAGTAAGAAATATCAATGTTATCTGAAAAAAAAAAAAAAAAAATGATCCAGTTGTCAGAATCATTGTTAAAGAAAAATCTCCAATCTACATTTTTTATTCTTTAAAAACTCATACCTAATTTTTAACTTTTAGAGTTCTTCGTAATAAACAGCAGATAGACTAAAGAGGCGTTAGTGAGTAGGTGAAGCCATAAGATTTAGTTGATACCAGTAATCTCTGCTAAATATAGATGCAGCATAAAAATAGATTTTAATTCCAAGAGTATTTTGAACTAATATCTCTGAGAATTAGAATCAGAGATACTTGTGAAAAACTCATTTAAAAAATTTAAATAAATTTTTCCACTGAAGTAATTGTAATATTATGTCAAGCAGCAACAGGTGATTTCAACCCATAACTAAATATTAAATTATCTGATTATGTAACTTAAATTTATAAATCAAATACATTGAAATAATTATGTTGCAGATTACTGCATTGAAAATAAAACCAAGTTGAGGAAAATGCTTCATTTTTATTAATTGCATTCATTTAGCCTATTTAACAATGGTAGGCAGATTAAGAATGTTATCAGTGTAAATAAAACTGTTTCAGCAACCTACAGAGAAAACGATAGCAAAAAACAAATGAGAGTGAAAATTGATAAAACAAAGGCCGACAAAAATAAAAATATATTTAAAGCAGAGAAAATGTTTGGTAATGTTTTTAGGATTCAAACCTTAATGACTAATGAAGAAAAAAATTCTTATTCTAATCAGTAATAATGAAAAAGAAAGGATAGAAACAATTTACATTTTTTTTTTTTTTTTTTTTACTTTATACTTAATAATTTTGGACAAAAATTAACATCTACAAAACAACTGTTTTACCACCTTCAGTGCCAACATTTGTAGACCAAGAATAAAACAATGACACTAAATAACATTGATGAAAGCATATATTAGTCAGAGACATATATGGTGAGCAACATGAAGACCTTAAACTTAACTTAAAAGGGGGGGGCTATTGACAGTTAACAGGTAATGGAAATGTTAATAGCCATTTGCATTGAATGTGTTAATAGAATGAATATTTATTCCAGCAATGAGTTTCAATGTGTGAAACTGCTAAAAAAGAATTAAAACTAGGCATTTTTTTAAATTGTATCAATTACATAAAGATTTGCTGTATTTGATGGTATAACCCCTGCCCAAACACAAACCTCCTGGGTCTGATGTGAAGTTAAGGTATTCAATAGACTAAATGATAACACTTGTTTCACAGATGGATGGAGTCATTTTCTACAGCTTATCAACCTTTTGCAGGTTATTTAAAGCCAGAAAATATTTTCAGATTGTAAGAATTTTGGAGGAGATAATGATTTAGTGATACAAGTCTTACTAATTAACCCACGCCTGGAGGGTGAGGAGAAGCGGAGGATTTATACCTTTCCCACGAGTATTTGCATATAAATTAATATAACAAAATTAACTGGAATTAGAACTTTGCTCACCAATTTCCAATTCCAAGCTTATAGCACCTGGTATTCCCAAATGGTTACCCATCTATATAATGACTAGGCTTAACATTTCTTAACTTCAGGGATCATGCAGGAATGTTAACAATTGTCTAAGCACACAGGTACTAAAGTGATTCTAAGCAGAAGGCCAGGGAATGAGACTGTCTCAAGTCAGTGTGCTGACATGTAAATAATCCAGCTATTTTTTATAAGTACTTTTCTGTAACAAATGCAAGTGATGAAAAGAATAGTCACATTAGTAGGAATTTTTCAACCTACTTTTTAAATGTCCCTGTTCAAATAAACAAACATTCTCCTGTAAATATTGATATAACTTTAATAAATATTCTGGTCTGGATAATAATAAGCATACCAAAGTAAATAAGCACCATGCCCAGGGGGAAATTAAAGGAAGTAATTGAATCATCCCATTACTTGTATTTGCTATATAAGAGTACTATTCTAATATGATATCAAATAGAATCAGAGCTGGGATTATTATGTGCCTCCAAATACAGTGCTTGTTTATATATATATATATATATATACACACACACACAAAAAAAAAAGTTAAAATTAAAAACTTGAAATGGCAACAAAATCCTGATTTTTTTTACATCTTAATACAATTATAAAACTGAAACTGCAATTAAAATGTCTTATTTTTATTTGTTTTTTTTTATGAAATTCCCAATGAAAAATATTCCAGTTTTATTAATCTGATAATTCTGTGAACAGAACAAGCATCACTAAATCTGACAGTATGACAAACACTCCTTCTCAAAGAAAGTGTTATAATAATCACAAAAATTTAAAGTTTTAATTTGTTATTTTTACAAAGTTCAAAATTCATATAACATTATTAATTTTCATGATTCAAACCAGAGTCAAGTTATTTTAAAAGTTAACAATTTCATCAATTACATGTTTGCTGTTTGTCAAAAATTAAATTTAAAATCCTAAAAATAAAAAAAAAAATAACTAAAATCTGACAATGTGTGTAAAATTCTTAATTTCAATATAAAATTGTTTGAAGTGACAATAATAATATAGCAGGCCTTTTAAGAGACAAGATCAGTTTATTCTCAATGATTCCTGTTGCTTCTCATATTTTACTACACACTGCCTCAAAAGATAACTGACCAGAAGGAACAGTAGTTTAACAGAAAAATGAAAAAAGATGTTGCTGCTAAGTCTGCCATTTCTAGTGATATGTTTTGTATATCATTTTCAAAAAATCAAGAAAACACCAAGTTCAAGAATCGAATCAAAGTTTATGGATTATAAAAAAATTTTTTTTTTTTTTTGAGATAATGAATGTTAAATTTTACTATTTAATCCATAGATGGGAAGAGGTGGATTCATACCTTTCCCAAGGGTATTTGCACACAAGTGAATGTAACGAATCTGACTGGAATTTGAACCTGGCTCTCAGATTTCTCATTCTGAAACATTATCTATCACATCACCAAGTATTCCCAAGGGGTCACTCATCTAACTAGTAACCAGGTTCAACATTACTTTGGTTTTCAGAGGAGAACTGGTATTTTAATGTAATATGGTTGTAAGCCGGCTTGATGTACAATTTCATACAGTCTTAAGTTGTTTTTCCAGCATGTTAGAATTTGCATTGTTCAATGATAAATGAATTTCTGAACATCTGTTAATGATGTATCCCTGTTTGATAGGGGACT